TTTTCAAAGAAATAATGCACTTTCACTATATGATCTATATAGCCCTGCCCTAACACCAGAACCTCTGACCCTGGGGCCATGAATTTCACAATTTTGGTAGAGGGCTCAATGCTTATTACAATCATGCCAACAGTTTGACTGCTTGATGTCCAGGAGTAAAAAAGAAGATTTTTAAAGATTGCATTAATTTTGGTGGTTTTAGCCCCACCCCTCAGGCCCCAGGGGGGCAGGGACAATGAAATTCATAATTTTTGTTCCCCATACACCCATAAATGCTATATGCCAAATTTGGTTGAAATTGGTTGAGCGGTTTCAGAGAAGAAGCTGAAAATGTTCAAATGATAACGCACATCGCACGACGCCGGACAAAAACGGATAGCAATAGGTCACCTGTGTGACTCAGGTGACCTAAAAAGTGGAATACATAAAGAATAAAAGAAAGTAAACAGTATCATCAGTTCATCAGCAATAGATTATATCTGCTAACAGTTAATGTTTAAACTCAAGTAACAAATAATCTTTTTTTTGCGCAGAATTTGGCTAGCTAGCTCTCATTCTACTATTTCACACTAAATTAAAAAAAACAAACTTTTAATCTCCCTGACGCTGGTTATTTTAGGCAATGAGTACAAAGTAAACATCGATGATGGCTGATTAAATTGCGCTTGTGTAGTGGTTTTTATATTGAATTTCCACGAAGGCGATCTGGATTTAATCCCGATGTCTGAATTTTCTTTCCCATTTTAGCTGAAATTTACGTTTATAAATGACGTTTGGCGTTTTACTTTCTGTGTGAATTCTGTGGTAATTTCATTTTTTAAAAATAAATATTTAAAATCCTTGCATTTTTGAAAGACCCATATTACATATTAAAGCTGAACACGACTCGTAAATAGGCATACACCATTTTCGATATTATATCTACGATACATCAACACCAGGGTATACTCTTCGCATTCGTTACACCTGACTGCTTTCTTGTCACGGGTATCGGCATGGAATGGCGACCCGTGTTCGTGCTGGTTATCTTGCATTACCTTTGTTTACATTTTATTGTAGTTACGTGTATCTGTGTTTGTTTGTACACTGCACTGAACTGTACAACTATAATTGTAAGTTCCTTTTGTATCTTACTTTCCTGCATTAGACGAGGTATTACAGTTATTTTTGTCGCTACCGAGTGCTGTATAGCATACGTCCGTCTACATCGGTGTCGACTGATTATACTGAACAGTGTCCAAGTCAGGCCCTTTATATAGGGGTCCTCAGATATAGCGAGAGTCCGAACAAAAATGGCGGACACATTGCTTTTACGAATCATGTTCAGCTTTAAGGTGTCTTTACCACGAACATATATAAATGTAATTTAACATGCAAAGAATATCACAAATAAAGATGGTTATTCGGACGGAAGACCTCTCGTTGCTCGCAAGGAGTTTCTAGTTATTATCATTCTTTTTTTCCTTAATATTTGTGCAGGCGATTTCTCAAAGAGTATTCACTTGATTTCAGTGAAACTTTCAGAGGACCATGGTATGAACTTTGTTCATCACAAAGAAATTTGGAAAATTCCTTTATGGTTCCATATTATGGCCAATTTTCTGATTTTAAAATGGTTTTTGTGTTGGCATCTCCTCTAGAACGGCTAAAGATATGAACTGGAGACATGTCAAAGATGATAGAGCATGAGTTGCAGATCTGCAACGTTATTAATTTTTTGCGTCGTCATTACTTCCAGTCGCCACCGGAAGTGAATTTCAAAAGTCAATTTTTCCAACTTTTTTTGTTTTTTTAATTCTTTTAATGATATCAGTAGGGATAATAGACTTTGATTTGAAAAACTTAATATATAGTTCGGTTTAAAATTTCATTTATCCATATTCCAGTTATTATCTCTCCCCCCCCCCCCCAGTTGTGCAGGCGATTTCTCAAGCAGTACTCACTCGATTTCAGTGAAACTTTCAGAGGTAATGGACAATGATATGAACTTTGTTTGTCACAAAGAAAATTTACAAAATTTCTTTTCGGTCCCAACTTATGGCCAATTTCCTGATTTTAAAATGGTTTTTGTCTTCGCATCTTCTCCAGAACGGCTAAAAATATGAACTGGAGACATGTTAAAGATGATGGAGCATGAGTTGCAGATCTGCAACATTATTTTTTTTTGGCGTCGTCATTACTTCCGGTTGGCACCGGAAGCGAATTTCAAAAGTCAATTTTTTTTTTTTTTTTAATTCTTTTAATGATATTAGTAGGGATAATAGAGACTTTCATTTGATAACAAAATATATAATTTGATTTAAAATTGATTTATCCATATTCCAGTTATCATCCCCCCCCAAAAAAAATTAAGCAGGTGATTTCTCAAACAGTATTTACTGGATTTAGGTGAAACTTTCAGAGGTAATAAACAATGATTTAAACTTTGTTCATCACCAAGAAAATTTGGAAAATTCCCTTTCGGTTCCAAGTTATGGCCAATTTCCTGATTTTAAAATGGATTTTTGTTTTTGCAACTCCTCCAGAATGGCTAAAGATATGAACTGGAGACATTCCAGACATGAAAGAGCATGAGTTGTAGATGTTCAAAGTCATTTTTTGGCGTCGTCATTACTTCCGGTCGTTGCCGGAAGCAAATTTCAAAAGTCAATTTTTTCAACCTTTTTGTTTTTCCAATCTTTTAATAATATCAGTAGGAATAATAGAGACTTTCATTTGAGAATTAAATAAATAATTTGGTTTAGAATTAATTTATCTCGTTATTATGCTTTTTATTCCCTCACATTTGTGCGGGCGATATCTCAAAAAGGTGGATTTCAGAGAAATTTTCAGAGATAATGGACAATAACATGAACTTTGTTCATCACAAAGAAAATCTGGAAAATTTACTTCTGATTCCAGGTTATGGACAATTTCCTGATTTTAAAATGGATTTTTGTCTTCCAAACTCCCCCAGAACAGCCAAAGATATGAATGTAAGACATGTCAGAGATCTAAGAGGATGACTTGTAAATGTTCAGTTAATTTCTATCGGGTTGTCGATGCTTCCTGTCACCATTTGAAGCTAATTTCAAGACTCGATTTTTTTTCTTCAACTTTTTTGCTTTTCAACATTTTTTAATGATTTAAGTAGGGATAATAGAAAGTCTTACCTGAATGCTAAATATATACTTTATTTCAAAATTAATAAATCCTTATTTTAGAAATTAATCACTTTTTCTTTCAAAGCCTGCGTCCCCAATAGCATAGTGATTAACGACATGCCTCTCACGCGGGCGAGTCGGCTTCAATCTCAAGAATGTTTGAAATTTTTTTATCACTTTTCTTTAAATTAAATTTACGATTTTATCTTTAAAGTGTTGTCTGGTATTTATTGCTGTTCGAATTTAGGGTATTTTCACACTTTTAAATTTCATAATATTTAATTGATAAAAAAACAAGAGGCCCAGGGGCCTTAACGGTCACTTTAGTACAATCAACAATTTAGAGGATCCATAAACTGATAAATGAAGCTTTGTTGCCTAAAAACAAGGAATATAGTATGATAAGCATCAACAAAATAATTGGTCTAGTATATAATCTGTCTCCTATTTATCACATTACCATGCAGACTATAAACAAAATGTCTATTTTTTAACCCCATATTATTACTTCTCACATTGGCCTCTCTTGGCCTTTGAAGAACATTTAAAAGATAAGTGATTTTTGTCTCATTTTTATTCATCTATTATTTCCAAGTCTACCTGATCATTAAAACCATGAAAGTATTTTTTGTATTATACAATAAATATTCTTACATAATTCTCTTACTCTATTAACCTTTCAAATACATTATTTACAGTGATTAATTATCAAAGGTGAATGGCAAAGGGGAATAACTTTGCTCAGCAGAATACAAGTTAATAGACCTCTGGCCAGGACCAGAATTCTTGACTAAATGGTCCAGGTGTTCAAAATTCTGGTAAAAATACGCTTGCATGTTAAAACTTTTAATCTGTTTGCGTCAAATATGCCCAGAAACATAGAAGATTTTCAAAGAAATGCATTTTCACTATATTATTAAATAAATAAAGCACCATCCTTACACCAGACATCTGACCCATTGACCATGAACTCATAATTCTGGAAGAAGCACCCTTGCTCATAATAACTATACACTTGTTTCTTTGCTTTATAACCAGTAGTAGAAAAAATATTTTGAAAGAAATTATGCATTTTCACTATATAATCAATAGAGCCCCCCCCCCCCTCTTCACCAGAGCCCCTGACCAGGGGCCATGAATTTCACGATTTTGGAAGTGGCTTTCTTCCTTATCATAACCATGCACTTCCTTTGTTTGAAAAATACCAAGGAGCAGAGAAGATTTTGAAAGAATTTATGCATTTTCCCTATATACTCAATAGAGCCCCGCCCTAACACCAGAACCCCTGACCCTGGGGCCATGAAATTCATAATTTCTGATGAGGCAGCCATGCTCATTATAACTATGTACTTATTTTATTTAATATCCAGGAACTGAGAAGAAGATTTTCAAAGATTTAATGCAATTTTACTTTATAATCAAAAAAGCCCCCGCCCTAACACCTGAACCCCTGACCCTGGGTTCATGAATTTCACAATTTCTGAAAAGGCAGTCATGCTCACCATAACTATGTTCTTAGGTAATTTAATACCCAGGAACAGAGAAGATTTTCAAAGAATTAATGCATTTTCAGTATATAATCAATAGAGCCCCGCCCTAACACCAAAACCCCTGACCCTGGGGTCATGAAATTCACAATTTTGGAAGAGGCACTCTTGCTCATCATAACTCTATACTTGGTTAGTTTATTTAATACCCAGGAACAGAGAAGAAGATTTTCAAAGAATTAATGCATTTTCACTATATGATCTATATCGCCCCGCGTTATTCAGGTGACCTAATAAAAGACAAAATTCAAATATAATGGTTTCTATCTGAATATTAATTAAGTGACTGACATGTTTTATGAATACTAACCTGTAACATCAAGATGTTCAAGATTTACACAGTATGACACAACTTCGAACAAAGAGTGGTTGGTCACATTTGAGCATCCTTGCATCTTTAGTTGCCGAAGCTCAGGACATCGTTTTGCAATGGCATGTAGCCCTTTGTCTGTGAGTTTTTCACATCCATTGAGGTTGATTTTCTCAACAATGACACACACTGTAGGAGTATTGTAACTTAGTCTTTTTGTTAAATATTTAATGGCTTTGTCTACATTGATATATTCACTATTCAGTACAATCTGTTTCCATAGCAGTGGATCCCAACCTACTCTGTGCCATCGTTGACATACACGTGATGCTCTACAAAGCTGGTCTGAGGAAAGGTAAGAAAAAATTTTAACGATGATGTCATCAGTGATCAGATCGAACAACGATGGTTTGTGATGTAGATATTTGCTACCTTTGGTAATGTGACCTTCTTCTTGAAGCTCTATACGTTTAATGTTATACTGTATTTGTTCCATGTGTTTGTCTAGTTGATATTCGTATGCAGGGTTTTTGTAGCTAATGACAGGGGTTTGTGGATGTGATGGAATCTGAAGATGATGTAGAGATTGTTCGGTCATATTCGAATTCTCGAGACGATATTTCTGGAGTTTTTGTGATAATAAGGGTGGAGTTCCAATAGAGGACGATGACTGGTAAGAGAGAGGTGACGGGGTGGACACCCGGTATTGCATTTTTAAGTCATGAGCGTTGTAGTGATTTGGCTGCTTTGGAGAAACAGAAAAGTTCCGGTTGAATTTCTGTTCTGTTGTCTCACACAGGTAATCATTTGTATTTGAGAATTTTCGTAAATTTATTTCAGAAGGCAAGTCACTGGCATGCGATGGAATACTTTCTTTAAAAGTGGACATATTTATTCCTGAATAAGTATAGCTAGGTACATCCGAAGCAAAGCCTGAAGACGAGTCATGGGCTGATTCCACTGTCATGGTCTGATCTGTAAATGAAGCTATAACAGTGACAAAGCCATGAAGAGCTATGATGTGTTTTTGTATCAGTTACTAGAAATTAGAATTTTTTGACTTTTGGCAAAAATCCCTATTGTTTTTCGTCTTAATAATATTATTCTGAACACTTTTTGAGTCCGATTCAAAATAAGTCTCTGAATCTATCTCTCATTTTATTTTGTGATTATTAGATAGCTACGGAAGCCCATTTAGGACCTATCAAAAAATGTTTTTGAATTCGATATAACGAATCGTCGAATTTGTAATGACGAATTTAATTCGTAATAATAAGGATCATTTCTTTATAAATGGAGTTTGGACTGGGATTGGTTTTAATCTATACAAAAAAGCTTGTCGATTTCGTTACGGTCAATGAGTTTAGGCTCCGTACATGTAATAATTCGTTTTCATTTCATTACAGTATGTGTAGAGATAAGCGAAACCTTCAGACATTTAAATTATTATGAAGCATGACAAAATTGTCAACACATTTTGAGTTTGTTATCTCAAAATGTTATTTGCTTTGATTTTTTCCTTTTAGTTTTCATTGTAAATAATGGTAATGTCTGATTATTCTTATTTTTTCTTGATGTGTGTTTATTTTACAACACATCTCAGTTGATATAATAAAACATGCCATTAATGTATACAAATTATAAAAATTAAATCAAAGGGAGTGTAGATACTACGTTATCCTACACTGTTTGAAAACTTTAGATCCGAAATTTATTGACTCGGTGCATGTTTGTATTCTAAATATATTTTTTAAAGTACAGTGGCTGCAACGTTATTGTTGACAAACCATTCGTGTAGAATCGTTCGTGAAACGTGCGTGATCGTTCGTGTAACATGAGAGATCGTGCGTGTATCAGGCTCAATCGTTTGCGATTTTAATCAAGCGTGATCGTAAGAAACGTGCTAATTTCATTTTGTAAGTTATCATCGGGATGTTATTTGTTAAATAAGCATTTCGCTTGTCTGTTTTTTTTTAATCCAAATAAAATAAATGAAGCGCGATTAACATAATTGACCGAACTAATCGCTAGTAAATAAGCAACATAGTACGTCGTACAATATGATATTCTCTTCAAATAGCGTGACTTTTTTCTGATGTTAATATTATGTTTACTGCTAATTGTGGTCAAGATTTTGTGTATATCAATACATCAAAAATGTATATTTTTCAAATAAATAAATGAATAATTCCCAATGCTTTCATAAATATTTAGACAGCGAATGTATATGGCATGATTGTCGGGGTTTCTTTTTTCAATGTTTATCTCTGAAACTTACTTTATTTTTATAATTTCTGGAAATGAATGATTTGTAAAATAAATTTTGATTTTAGAGATTCACAAATGGAAAGATGGATATAATTTTAATTTATTTTTTATGCCATTTTTTTTATTTCCCTCCTTACTGCATATCATTAAATTCAGTAGAATTAAAACTCACGGCCCACCTTAATCATCTGATAGAACATGCAACAATCGATCATAAATTAATCTTTATGTATCGATCAATACGAAAAAAAATCGATCTTCCTAAGTCGGAGAATTACGTCTAAATTATTTGTAATCTAAAATAAGTAGCAAGTCTTGTTTAGTTTCAAATAATATCCATTTCTAATTTTTTCCCCAGTTTTCCAAAGTCGATGAATTGTATCAGTAATCATTTGAAAAATGACTATTAAGCCTTATTTCGTTTAGAAAATATTCACTCCTAAATATTTTTAACCATTTTGCGTGAAGAATCGTGCGTTTGCATTAGCAATCGTGACAGATCGTGTAACGTGTAGATGTGCGTGAAGGATCGTACCTGTAACAGGTTTAATCATGCGTTAATCGTGCGGAATCGTTCATGTAACGTGATCATTAGTGTAAGTTGTCAACAATAACTTTGCAGCTAACGTTTCCAGCGCAACAAGGCAGAGAAGAACTAGTAGTACAGACAGAAAAAGAGCAATGTAATTCACTAAATTGCTTAAATTGTAAGGAATATTTATATACAATAGAAATCCATCGCATCTCATGCTCATCGCAGGCGAGAATATCTGTATCGAGTAACACAGAGTGAATAATTCTTGTCCTCGAAGAAATGTGCTATACTGAGGTATAGTTCTGCTTGACTGTGTTTTAGTTACAGTAGAATTTACTATTTCTTTTCCCTTTAGTGTCTTTTATATCAAAAATGAACAGGCATAAAAGATAGATGATTGAAAGAAAATACACAAGACCCTATTAAAAAAATAAAATAGTCTATAAAAAGACAAGAATTTAAAAGTGTATGAAAGTGTGGCACCGGGTGGATTCGAACCAAGACTCAAAAAAGGATCTATACCCAGCTGTTTTACCGATCTAGCTATTCCGGATTTGAAAATAGCGTGTATAAATGCAAATTAGGTTTTTAAAAACAGGTTTCCTTATTTTTTTGTTGGTTTTTTGTGAATTTCGACCCTAAGGCAGGGGTGCCCCTAAAAAAATTCCTGTCTTAAATTATTTCTTTCATCACAACCTATCAAAATATCATAATTTTATTTAGGGGCAGGCCTGCCCTGAAGGAATTCTAGGCCAAAATTCATGCAAAAATCTGTGCTTTAACGGACAAAATGCTGTTTTTGCCAACTTTGGAAGTTAATTTTTAAGTTGTAAATAATAAAGGATGAATCGTTTAAACGTCCAACTCTGCCCCCCCCCCCCCCCCCCCCCCCCGACAATTTACAAAAAAATAAAGATTTTCTACATATTTTTGCCTCAATCTTTCTATCAAATATTGTACTTTATTAATTTCAATTTCAATTTTTACTTCCTTGCGCTGTAATTAGGTATTTATGTGATTAATATAGCAGGGGTATGTTGTTTACATCGATTTCTCATAGACTTTAGGCCACACCCCCATTTTGCAAGCCCATTTTTTATATGAGCGCATGGATGTTTCAAGTTGTCGTAAATACGGTCAATGTAAAGAGTTATACTAGTCATTTACATTCATGAAAGAAATTGAAACAGTCTTGTGCTCATTTGTTATTTTCCAAAAAGGTGCAAAATCACGGGTGCTTGTCTCCATAGTAAAGGCACCTTGTGACGGTACATATTGTTGTTTTGTACATATTGTCGTCGGCGACAATATGTACCTACCCTCACCGCACATATTGTCGTCCATCGGTACATATTGTCGCCGGCGACAATTTGTACCGAGACAAGCCTTATTTTCCTCCTGCATAATGGACGACAAAATGTCAGTCAAGCATCAGTACATATTGTCGTCGGCGACAATATGTACAGTCAAGGTCGGCATATATTGTCGTCGATATATTGTTTTGACGAATATTTACTTGAGAAAGGAAAGAGAGATTGACAAACAAACTCACACGCACGGAGGGAGACAGACAGAATTACTCGCAATACTGAAGGGAAAAAGTTTTTTGATCAGAAAATTGTGTACATCACTATGGATTGTCAAAATTACATAATTCTTAAGATATCCGATAAATCAGCTTATTCTTTTTTTCTGTAATATATACGTGGAGATTGAATACATGTATTAGTTATTTTGTTCAGTAATAATGATTATTACGGAAGCCCATTAGTGCCAATCTGTATCTATAAAGGAAAAGCAATTTATAAAAGTAAACCTCGATATATAAAGGAAATGCGAAATATATAAACAAAACCTGGATATATATAAAGGAAATGTGAAATATATAAACAAAACCTGGATATATATAAAGGAAATGTGATATATATAAGCAAAACCTCGATACATGTATATATTAAGAGAAATGCGATATATATAAAGAGAAAATTTTCCACTGCGTGACCTGTGTCGCTCAGCTGTCCATCAAGATTATATACAGATTAACTCCTGGCAGGGGGAAATCAGTTTTACAGTACTCTTGTATTACTTTCCCAGAATCAGCAGAATGGTGTTATTCAATAGAGTTTGTTTATTTATACATGTATATATCGATGAACTGTAATTGTAGCATTACTTAATATAATGCATTTAATTGAGTAGATGAGCATTTAATTATGTATGCATGAAATAAGTATGTTTATCGTATTTTCTGTGTATTTATTGGCTTTACATGTATTTTGATCAACTTCCTTTTTACAACTACTGTACCTTGTTTACTGTTTTACAAAAATTTAGCCGTATATTACCTAAGTTTGGTTTCACAACCGAGAATTTATGAAAATAATGTTAAACATGGACTTTTAACAAGCTCAGTTTTTTAAATACCCTAATTCAAATTAATTTAAATCTATTATAAAAATAATATACTTAGTCTAGTATATCCCCATTGGTTTCAAAGAAAGTGGCTCCCATCAGCCACGTACCTCAAATCACTTGACTTGATGGGAGCAACTTTCTTTGAAACAAATACTGGCACATTCTTAGTAAAGATAAAAACTGCATTGCGATTTTCTCTGAATTCCCTATTGTGTCATATAAACGCAATAAAAATTTGGGTGATATGATAACCTCCTCACTAAATAATCTGTATAACAGATGTGCAAATAGGCTCCTGATGATGGCGGATTTGCAGCTAAGTAATAAACTGTAAGAAACTAAAAAATCATAAACCTCTTATCAAACCGCCGAAACACTAAATTAGTGTAGAGTTAAGTGATTTAAGGTACGTGGCTGATGGGAGCCACTTTCTTTGAAACTGATTTCCGTATTAACAACCAAAGAAAGCATTTTATTGTTTAAATAAAACATGATATCACAGACATGCATTTTGCACTGAATTATATTTCAATTGAAAATACCCCAAATTTTTATTGCCATGAAATGAACTTATCGAGCAAAAAAGTTTTGATTTTATTCTGCCCGATTTGAAATGTAAGAATAAAACAGTCTTATTTATAAACTTTAAATTAATTTAAATCATCATATTAAGACAGTCATAAAGAAAACGCAATACACTTAAAACCATCCTGAAACTGAGCCACATCTACCGTTTTCACTCAAACAGTAGCTCAGG